GATTGAAAGTGTTTATTCTTCCAGAGAAGAATGTCAAATAAGGGGTTTCCCATATCAGTGTTAGAAATACGGGACTGATCCTCATGGAACCCAGTTGCTATTCCAAAGTTATAAGAAACCTGTTGGTGACTTGAGACTTTTGCTCCTGAACTGTGTTCTTGTGCTCTAAGTTTTGAGCCATTTTCTCTCTGCCTGATGTTTACAGGTAAATCCTTTCATCAATGCAAGGTCACAATGACCCCCGCAGTTTCAATTTCCTACACATTCAATTTCATTTCTCATTCCTAACTTTCTTGTTCAGCTCAGCTTGTTTCTGTTTCATCTTCACCACCAGAGAAAGATGAAGATAAAAAGCACTGTGAGGTGGAGGACCAGAGCCTTGGTGTCAGTTTTCAGGAGTTGAGCCCTGCCAGGTACCAAACACTCAGGAGCTGCTCCATGTCTTGCAGAGACACAGCTTTGAGTCCTTTGACTCTGCCCATACATTGTTATTTTTGGACTTGTTCCTGCCTGGCTGCTGCAGTGTCGTGACGATGCAGTCTCTAAAGGCTCTCTCTCTCTCTTCAATCACTACCCTGACACAATGGCACTCACAAGAAAAGAAACATTTTTTAATCATCTTTTGATTCTGAGCTGTCTTTTTCATTGCTAATAATGTTGCCTATTTCTGTGTGACTAGGGGCAAAGAAAATTATTTATATGCATATAGGTTTGTATGGGATCTACCCAAACAGCTAACAGAGCTCTGCAGAGAGACACATGATCCTTTAAATAAACAGTAAAATTATGTAAATTGAGTTAATTTCCCAGTCTTTTCTGTGCATTTCTTGGGTGTTTGTTTGTTTGTTTGTTTGGGGGAGGAGGTGTCTGTTCCAGGAGGTTTTTGCTTTGTTGGTTGTTTTATCTAACTTTTGATACAATCCCAACAGCTGCATGCTCCAGGCATGCAGATATTGAATCAAAACAGTGCTTTTTTTGACCCCTTAAGCATCAGTGATCAGCCAACAGTCAAGACAAGCTAAATTAACCCTCCAAGTCAGCAGCTTTCTGCACCTCTGGAAAAGGTTTTGGACATTTCTAGGTGGCTAAGGTGAAGAGGGCCTAAAAAGCCTACCCAGCCCAGAAATCAAGCAGGCTGCTCAAAACTCCACCACAGCAGAAAAACAATGGCAAGCTCTTAAGTATTAATCTTGAAAGAATACTTAACTGTGACACAGAAAAAGTGCTTCTTTAATGGCTTTCCTCCTCCTGGTGCAAGTTACCAACAAATTTTAGAAAGGTGAATGGATTCTGCTTAAAGGCTTTAATTTTTTAACAGCTAAAAAGAAATCTAAGCAGTAACCAATTGCTCGGTGCAGACAAAAACCGCTGCTAGCAGTAATTTCTTGGTACTCAAGACCACAATGTTACCCTTCATTGCACTGAAACTGTGGCTGTTAAAATGTGTCTGAAAAACATTTCACATAGGAAACAAAGAAAGGCTGGGGGAAGAACACTAATGTTTAATTTTGGCTATTGCTTTCCGCCTTTCTTCTGAGATGGAAAAACAAGATGTATCTGGAGTCTTCTTCTATTGAAGCTGACAAAACGCTTTTCAGACCTTGGCTTTGGGCAAAGGCAAAATTGAGGGGAACAATTTAGATGTAGCATGGAATGTTATCAAAAAATGACAATAGGTTAAATATTCTTCTTAAATGGTGTTTAGTAAACAATTTTAGCCTCTTTGACCAGGGCCAAAATGAAGAAATACTGACTTCTTCTGTAAACAGTCCCACATAAAGTAGTACTAGATTACAGCAGTTTCCCTAACATAATGGTTTAAGGGGGTAAAAAAATCTGTAACAGTTGGCAGCTACTGTACACGGTTTCCCATTTTTCAGGAAAAACAGCCAAGTTTTCCTCCCCTCAATGAAGGGGATTAAAGCCATCGTGCTAGAATACAAATAGAAATAATCTTAGGACTTCTATGCTAAGCAGAAGCAAAACTAAATATTTGTTTCTGATGGGAAACGTGAAATATGGAAGTTAAAACTTTTTTTTTTTCCTAATTACTGAGAAGATCCACACTGAATTTTAAAAAGGACGAGGTATTGCCCGGTGCTAAATACAGGGAAATTTTGGGAGGCACCTTTGAGATTCAAGCTTAAAGTTTAGTTTTCAATTCCATATGCTTTTTCCTCTTCCCAAATACCTGATTTCTGCCTTTCTTTACTCTGAAAAGAGGAGTGAAAAGGATATATTAGTTCAGCTTGAGTGCTGACAAGCCATTTGCCAAAATGATATAAATAAAACCTCAGCTTGTTGCCCAGATCAGCAGAACATATCTCCCCTGTGCTTGGCATAACATTTGATACACTCTTTTGGTGTGCTGAAAATTCCTTTCTATTGATTAAACATGATCGAAATGGGACTTTTATTCAGAATCAGCACAACACACTTTTCTTTCAAACTTCAAAACTAGAGAATAAATGTTATTATCCACTTTTATCTAAACTGCAAAATGATACTAAATGACTACGCTTCCATTAAGATAGAGGAAAATGGACTGTTAGCAGCCTAGGAAAGAACAGCTTCTTTTTACTTGCATTGTCCATGTTTTCCTACCAACAGCAAAATGAAAAGAGATACAGTGAGTGGGATAGAGATTAATTTTGTAAATTTTCCTCATTACACCTTCCCTCTATTCAACACAGTCAGAACAGCTGGGACTAATCAAGGGTCTGAATGAAATAATGAAGTCATCCTATCATGTAAAGGCTTTAAGAGTCTATAGTAAGCACAGTGTATTTTTTCTTACTCATAGATATTAAAACTGGATGTATTGTTAAATGTGGTAAAAAAGCATACCATATGCTATGATCAGCACTGCATTTCCTTCCCAGTGTTGGTGTAGAGTGAAAATAAAGGAAAAAAGTTTCATTTTTTACTCATGCTGGGGAAAAAAGGAAGGGATGGGCATTTTTTTAATCCAGTGCAAATTCAAAATGCACTACAATGAAATTTCTTAAATATATTGAAGATCTGTATGCAGTCTGGTTATGTTTCTCTTCTTTCCCTCAGGTACACAATAATCTGGAAAGAACTGTAGTGCAGTTGTCCTGTTATTTCAGAAACCTCTCTGAATCCCTCTTTTGATGACAGGCTAATGACACGTGAACAAACAGCCCAGAACATCATGTGCTGCAATAAGCAGAAAGATCCTGCCCCAGCCCTCGTGTCATCTTGCCACATTTCTCAAAAACAGACAGATGATTCCCATTTTTCATTTCTTTATGTTGTTTTCAAGCTACCAAATTAACACAGATTAATTTTAAAGGCATTATCCCCTCTGTTCTTAATAATTCCATGAGACACCTGGTGCTTTATTGCTCCTGGGTGTTTTGGTCACCTCTTAGTTCTTCTAGAAATGGCTCAGTTGTCTGGAAAATGCCTTACCAGATAAAATACTCCCTCATCTTTTTGTAATTACATTATATTAACTAAGTCTTCTGCTTTTTTTCTTTATATGATTTATGCACTGTTCATGTCCTTGTCTCTAATGCTGATATACCAGGAAAATGGTCTGAAGTTACCTTATAATGCTGTCACTTCTACTGCACAGAGCCCTTCTTTGTGCTGTACTACCTTCTTGTTGAATCATTTGCATTACCAGAGGACTTAGAGAAGTCATGAAATCATCACCACATGTTGCTTTCTTATACTCCCCATCTAAATTTCTTTGTTTGTTTTGCTCATCTTCTGCTTTTCTCTTACTCTTTTTTTTTTTTTTTTTTTCCCCATTTTTTTTCCAAAAACTATTAAATTGTTCCACAGTGATGAGGTATTTTCCCTTTCTCTTTCTCTTTTTTTTTTTTTTTTTTTACTCCATGTGTTTTCCAACTGGTATTAAATTGTTCCACAGTGATGAGGTATGTTCCCACCTGTACACTTGGTGTCCTCCCATAAGTTCACGTGGTAGGATGTATTTATAAATGCTGGTACAAACTATCCACCTCTCTTCCAGCACCCCTCCATTTCTTCCCTCACTATTTTACATATTCTAGCCCTTTCTGTATAATGATGCCGAGAGTTTTTCACACATTCCAGCAGCTCTGCCAGCATTTATGGGCACTCAGAATCTAAGGATATGGAGTAATTCCACAATATCACAAAATATCATGTGCTTCCTTACAGAATTTTATTATAAAATATGCAAAACAACACGGTTCTTCATACTTCTTGAAGAGTGATGAAAGTAATAACCCTGAAGTACACAACACTGAAAATGTCAGCTCAGATCGCACAATTTTAGAAAAAAAATTCTCTGGTTTTTAAACCTCCTTCAAATATTTTTATTCAGTGCCCCAGATCCTCCCTTCCCCCTTTCAAGGAAATACTGGACGTGGCACTCGCTGCCCTGGTCTGGTTGACAAGGTGGTGTTCGGTCATAGACTGGACCCGATGGTCTCAGAGGTCTTTTCCCAACCGAACTGATTCTGTGATTCCCACCCTGGCTCCCGGGCTTTCCCCTCGAACTTCACGGGTACAGCCTGAGGTTGATCCCCGCTTTGTGTCGCGCCTCCCTGCACCGCCTTGAGCCCCTCAGCCTCCCCTGGGGGCTCCAAGGCAGCGTGGAGGGCACCGGCAGACGCGGCTCTACGTTTCGGCTCCGTTTTGAAGCTCCTGCCGCTGCTTTCGGCCGAGACAGACGCCCCCCACACGCCGCTGCCCGCCCCCACCTCGGGAGGCCACACAGCGCCCTGAGACACCGCCCCACCCTCCGACATGCCGCACTTTCGTCACGGCCACGTCCGTGGTTCCACCGCCTCGCCAGTACTCCTCTGTTGTCATCAAATGCGTAGTGTCCTCGCCGGTACCGCGGAATCACGTTATCCTTGGATTTAACGCTTGGGCTGCTGGAACTTGATTCGAATCTGCTGTCGCTAAAAGCCAGCCCGCCCCTGCCCCTACGCCGCCGGCGGAACCGGAAGTGTCGCCATTTTGTTTCGGGTGATGGCGGCTGTGGTGCTCTGGGACCGGGGGCTTTAGCGCGGGCCTGGCCCTGCGGGGACTCGCTGCTCGGACAGTCGGTGCTCCTGCGAGCTGCCTCCGCCTCGCTGCGCCCCCCGGTGATGTACGGAGGGCTCGGAGGGTCTCGACGGACTGCAGAAGAAGCAGGCCCGCCGCCCCTAATGTTGTTGTCAGGCGGGGGAACGGTGCCCGGGCCCCCCGGAGGAGGTGGAGGTGGAGGCGGGAGTAGCCGTGTGGAGCTGCTGGTGTTCGGCTATGCCTGCAAGCTGTTTCGGGATGATGAGAAGGCTCAGTACCAGGAGCAGGGGCGACACCTTATTCCTTGGATGGGAGACCCCAAGATCATGATCGATAGGTCGGTGTAACACAACCCCCAGACTGTGCTGCGAGATCTCCTGTGATAGCCTCTTTCTGTTTCCCCCCTTGTGCTGTGGGCAGTGAGGGCGGGGGTTGAGCAGAGGGCTCGCTCTGGCAGGCGCGTCGGGTCCCTCTGTGCTGGGGCTGGAGGCAGCTCGTCCCGGCACAGCTCCGAGGGCGCTCTGCAGCGCTTCATTCTGCGGAACTTGGGGTTTCCCGCTCTGGCAGCGCTGGGAGGTTCCTCTCCTCCTGGCAGGCAGCGTGTGATGGGTCTTTCTGCTCCACTTGTGAAGGCAGGGTGGAGAGTGGGAATGATCTGTTCCTTTTCAGTGCAAACCACAAACGTCCTCCTATTTTTTCACTTGGAATCTAAGGGAGCCTGATTTCGTGGGAATACTTATTAGGCACATTGTGTGTTTTGTAGGTGAGAACGTGGCAGTGTGGGGAGTGCAAAGGCGTTTATCCACCATAAAGAAAATGGGGATTTCCTATTTCTCCTACATAATCTGGCTGCAGGCTGCTGATGGGACACCCCAAAAGCAGTTCTTGGCCTCTTCACTTTTCCTGGTGCCATGATTTACTCTATTAGACAGAAGGGATTTGATTTTGAGTGCTTGCTCTTGAAATTTTATGTCAGTACTGGCTTCTTTTGGTTGTTGTACCATAGGTCCAGGTTCATGGCCAGAGAGACTAATACAATCTGCTTTGATGTTCCTTCTGGTTTCTTGAGTTGTTTCAGCACTGCAGGGTGGGACTTGGAAATAAATTTATTCAGAAAGGGTTACCTGAATATTTTGTTGGACAGAGGGAAGATGAGAGATCAGGTTGGTTATGTTTGAGTGGAGCACTGAAAGAATAATTTAAGAGTTATGGCTGACCCTGAAAACCTCAGTGGGAAAGATGGAAGAATTTTGGTTTGGAAAGGGTCATATAACATACTATAGATATTTGTTCCCTCAGTTTCATCACTGCTTTGGTGCTGGACAGGATTTCTTATTTTGACTTAAAAGCTGTATTTGTCTTGGAAAAATATCAGTAAGGGAAGGTCTTTTGATTTCCTTCCGTAGGACTGAAGAAAAAAGAAATGCCCTTGCACTATTTTGGTGCTTACGCCATTAATGATGGTTATCATTGAAATAAATTTGTTAAATTGGAATAGACATGAAGGCAGGACAAAACACCCATAAGTATTTGTAGCTATGTTTCATTTCTCATGCAACAATGGAAGTGTTGTGTTGCACACTTCTAATCTAAATAATTTCTGTGACTGATCTCATTTGTTGGTAGAGGCTGTTTTTGGGGTGCTGTGAAGCAGAGCCCCGTTCACAGATGTTATAGAAATTGTAGGGAGCAAACACTAAGTATGTGCATGTCTGTACCCACATACTGAAATACCAAATAACATACATTTGTGAGTTAAGGCAGCTTGCAATTGCTAATCTTATAAACTCCTTTGGAAGCTTAGATTCCTTTTATCTCCAGCAGCAGGAAGTCTTCATTTTCACCATTTTGAGAAAAGCACATTGATATGAGAAGACTTGGGTTCAAGTTTCCCTGTGGACAGAGCTTGATTAACCAGACCTATGTTTCATTTTGCTTTTTGCTATAAGAATATTTACTTTGTTTTTGGTCTAGCAAGTTGGCACAAGTCAAGAGTTGTGTGTGGGAAGACACCTCAGCGGAGTCGAATTTACTGTCGCTTTACTTTCCAATCGGTTTCTCTTACTGATGCATAAACATTATCCCAATGCAGTGCTTTTTCTGCAAATAAAGTGATTTCTTAGTAGAAAGGAACTGTACATCATTGATCTTTGCCGATTTTGCGGTGAACCTCCTTAAATTGCATGTTTATGTTACTGTTCCTATGTATGTGTGTCTCTCTATCACATAACCCAGAACTTATTTCCTCAGCCAAATGGCTAGGGGCCGAGCCTAGCCATGATTTTACCTCCAATGGACGCAAGTTTCTATGGTGAAGATTTCTCCTGAGAGTTCGAGACTAGCAGAAAGAAGCGAGGAAATTTCGACCGTTTGGTTCTTACGGATAGGTATTTATGTACTCGGGTTTGTGTGAATGTAAGCTATTTGACTTTCCAGAAAAACGTATTTTGCAAGTGACATTGATTGGTTGGTTGAAGCACGTACGGTAAGAGCTGTTAAGGAAATGGATCCCACTTAAACTATTAAAGGATACCTTTGCCTTTAATTGTAATAATTTCTTAGTTTCTTTGAGAGGAATTTAGACTATTAAACAAATTTTCGATAGTTGGTGACAAATGATTAGCAAAATTAATTGTAACTTCTAAAAGGGAGTATGCATTAACGTAAAAGTTTTTTTTTTGTTTTTTTGTTTTTCATTTTTATTGGGTAAGTATTTAAGTAGTCACATAAACCCAAGCCCTAAGTTCTTTGCATTGACCAGCTGTTTCATCCTGCAGGTATGATGGGCGTGGTCACCTGCATGACCTTTCTGAATATGATGCTGAATATTCCACCTGGAACAGAGATTATCAATTGTCTGAAGAGGAGGCTAGAATAGAAGCCCTCTGTGATGAAGAGAGGTATTTAGCCTTGCATACGGACTTGCTTGAGGAGGAGGCAAGGCAAGGTATTGCTCAAGGAATAACATGGTTATTAAAAAAGCATGTTTAAATAAATTATTATGAAACTAAATTTACTCCTAATTTTATACTCTCTTTTTCTGATGTTATCTTGACAGTACCCAGTGGATTCGAAAAGCGGGAGTCTTTGCGTATGAGAGGACCTCAGGATAGTTTAACTGTAGATCCACACAGAAATTGCCCAGATTCTGAGGGCAGACTGGGATTTCAGACCCCCCAAAATAAACACATTCTGCTTCATTTTTAGTGTTGTTTAAAGGAAATTCTGTGCTTTTATACGCATAATTGCATTAGAATGTCTTAATCCACAGCCTGTCTCACTTCAAGAAGAAATAAATGGGCAGCATGTGTACATGCTGTGTTTTTCTGTTCAGTTTTTAATGAAAGCTAAAATGATCAGGAGAAAACTTCTTATTTAAAAGCTAAAGTAAGAAATATTACTTCTTCTTTTTTAATAAATTAGCTTCTGAATATGTTCTAATGTTGGTAATTGCATTTTTGTTCAAGAGGAGGAATATAAAAGACTCAGTGAAGCTTTGGCAGAGGATGGTACCTATAATGCAGTGGGATTCCGTTATGGCAGTGATTATTATGACCCTTCAGAACCCACTGAAGAGGAGGAGCATCAGCCTGCAAAACAAAAAGGTAAGGGGTAAAAATAACAAGGGTTAATTGAGAGGGAGGACATACCATTTCTCTGTCTTGCAGTTGAGGGTTTAAAATATATGTGTTATTAAAATGCAGTTAGAAATTCTGAAAGCATTTCATCAGGGTCTTTATGGAACTCTGTTACTGAGTTTTTGCAGACTTTGTTCTTGATGAGCTTAAAAATATTTTCCTGCTGTGGCACAGTCAATACTGCAGTAGTCAGGGAATTTAATTCTGCTGTCATGCAGATTCTTATTCAGAAAAAATTAGTAATTCCTTACACTGACTGTCTGCTAACACTGTGTTTCTCAGTCAAGACAGAAAATACCGTTGTAAGCATAAAATAATAATAAGAATATATATTTTTAAGTTTAAATTTTCTCATCTTAATTATTTCAAGTCTGTCTTCAACACAGTGTACCCTGCTCCATGACCTAAAAAATACAGAATTCAGTTGTCATGTTCTCATCTATAATTCAAATAACTTCATATTTTTATCATATATTCTTAAGGAAGGTTTCAAATGTTGTTGAACTATGTCTTAGTAAAGTGAGGATCGTTTAATTAACAATTGGGTTGCCTAACTACATCTTGGTGGGTTACTGTGGTATGAAATGTGATTTTTTTCCCCCAAGTTGTGTTGCATTGCAAGACCATTTTAGGTCCTTAAGCTTATTTAGTGTTTTTTTGAGAGATTGTGTAAGGGCACTCAGTGTCTGCGCTACTTGCACTGTACAAACGGTTTTGCCTCTTCTCTTTTGTACTGAAGCAGCATTGGTTGTCTCTTCAGGGGTTTAATTAATTTGTTTAATACTCTATAACCAAATATTGTTAGTTGGAGCTGCTGCCAAAAGAAACAGTCTGTTCTTAGTCTGCTGTTCTTTCCTTCTTTCTTTGCTGCTAAAATTTCTCTGTACCTTTGTGGAGTTAAACTATTTGAGTTTATTAAAAAAAATAAAACAAAAACCAGCCCACCAGAATATAACCAAACAAGTGAATTCCCTTTGTTGTATGGTTTGTCCTCAGTAATCACTGTGACATCTCATCCATGATGAGGTTGTTCTGCTGTTTCCACAGCTCCCGTGGTCAGGTGTTCCTGCACTTGGTGCCATCTAGTCTGTCAGGGGAAAAGGGGAATACAATTTCTCTTAAGGCTAGTAGAATAGATAATACTATAAGTTACTGTAAAAAAGTAAACTTTTTATTTCAATTATTAGAAAAATCTGTAAAGCAAAGTATATTCAGAGGAAGATTTCTGCTATAGCAAGCAGAATGTATGGACTGTAATACAAATTATTCTTTTAAACCGTATGTAAATGTCTTCAGTATAAGTGCTGTTTATATAGCTGCATTTGATAAATTCCTTGATTGCACATCCTTTTAGAAATACTTTATTTCATTTTTGGTTTTTAGCATTTGTGTGCTTTGGTTTTTTTTCCTAAATATTCTATTCTGTCATTTCTTGTAGAAACAGCTCAGACAGAAAATACAGAAGAAAATGAAGAACCTTTTGTTGCCCCTCCGGGTCTGAATGTACCTTCTGATGTGGAGCTGGTATGTGTGCATGTAATTCAGCCTACACTTCTGCCAGCTTTTGAGCAGTTGATAGTGCTCTGTTTGGTGGTTGGGCTAGGTTTTTTTTTCATTAACTTTAGTGCGGTACATTTTATTCTAAATATATTTTTATATATCTAAATTCTAATGTGGTACAAATTATTCAGAAATAGTAACTTAATTTCAAATGTTCTGCCTTGAGCTCTTGAATTCTATGAACACTCTTGAATCTTCTTTTTCACACTGAAATGATTGCTGTGCTTATGCTAAGTGCATTTGGTATCACTTAGGATATTATTTTAGCTAATCCAAAGAAAAGGCAGTTGTTTTTGGAATGGATACTTGCTGAGATGTAAGGTTCAATGTTCCAAACAGAAAGGACCATTAAACCAGAAATTTGCTTCTGTTCAAGAATTCTTTTCTAGAATCTTTCTAAGTCGCAATCTGAAGGGGAGAGAAACCGATCAAGTGTTAATGCTGTATATAAAACTAGCATGTTCAAGGAGAAAAACAGTAATTTATTTCTAGCTAAGTCTGAAATACCTTGAAAGTATTAGTACATAGAAGCTCCTTTCTTCATGGGATGTTGCTAGAATTTGCTGAGTGTTCTGTAGACTTAATTGGACTTGTGTATTTTTCTTTAAGGGAGCTGAACAGACACCTGCTTGAGTACAGGTCTAACTATAAGGGTTTTCAGTGTATTTCAAGTTTCATAAAAGATGAAGGAAAATCTGATAATATTTTTTCTCTCTAACTGTGGTCACAAAAGTGTTAATTTATATGTGGGCTCAACTTGGTATTCTCAACTTGATAACCTTGGCAGTGAAGATTCAGAGCACTCTGTTAGGATAAGTAATAACGAGCACAGAGTATTTGTGTAACCATTTGAACTTCATTAGCTTTTATTTAAAGAACGTTAAGTTTTCTGAGAAAAGCTTCTTATTTTGCATTTTGATACTGTTTCCAAAATGTAACTGCTGGTGAAAGAGTGTTGGTTGTGATAGCTGCTTGGCTTTTGTTCTGAAATTTAGATGTATTTGCTATGTACATTATATAGTGCAGTGTGGGGCTTACTGAGGTAATTGCTCAGTCAGCTGTTGAACTGCAGTATATTCACATGAACAGAATGCAAATGTACGTGTCTTTGGTTTTGATTAAAAACCCATAAACTCAACAAACATCAAAATGCCTAGACAACAGCTCTGAAAGCAATGTGAACTTAACTTTGGATTGGGATTTGTGAATTTTTTTTTTGTAAGCCTTGATTTGTTGTTGCTGTTCTATTTAAGTCATTCAGCTTTACCATGGAAGATATTTATTCTTTATTTATTTCTATTTAAGAAATTTGAGAATCAGCATGCTAACATGGAGACTTTGCTCCCAGTCTGCAAGCTGCAGTTCAATAAAGACGGATATAAAATACTTCCTATTATACAGATCAATGCAAAGTGGAAATATTCAATGAAGACAAGTCAGGCAGCAAAAAAAACTCGTCCAGAAATACAGAATGTTCAGTGTATGACGGCTCCAGTTGCAGCAGTAATGTTACTCTGGAACTTAGAACAGAAGAACTTTGGCAGGCAGGCCAAAGGTCTTCCACTGCTTAAAACTGATTATGGGCAAAAATGATTGTTTTTCAGCAGGGCACTTTAAGAAGACTGTGGATGTTCTTGAAGTGAGCTGTTAGAGGAAATTTTCGCTTAATAACTTATGAGGAGAGATAGAAACAGAAAATCTTGATATGTGATGTGAAACTGATAATGCACAAAGTGTTACTAGTTTAAGAACCTCATTGCCTCCCATCAAAATAGTCTTTGCTGGGGTTTTAGAAGGACAAATAAAACTTGAAACAACTAGTTATTTTCCATATTGAACATGTCCTGGTAAAGGATCCAGTCAGCAGAAAACAGCTTTTAAAGCAAAACAGCTTTTATTGGGCTGTTTGATTATAGTCAGACTTTTTTTCCCCTATGTGAAACACCGCTGTCTCAAGTGCTTCCAATCTTCTGAGAAAGATTTTTTGAGGTTTGCAACATAGCTGGGTATCTATGAAGTAAAACTGCAGTGCTAAACCAAATCATTAATGTAACACTTCAGTCTTTATAGGCACACAGATTATGTGTTTTTACAATGTACTGAGCACAAGACAAAACAGCTGAGTATGAAATTAAAAGTAATGAATAATGAAGTTCTTTCATTCTTTAGCTGTACTCTTGTTCTCTTCACATCTTGGGTTTGGTATCATACTGTTCCCTAGGGATTTCTGGCTAGGAATTTCTGGTGTGAAAATTCATGAATGCTGCTGAACTTTATTTTTTGCTTTATTGCTGAAGTGTTTGATGACTCTTCAAGGGAATGGACATGGGAACTATAGTTTGTATGTTGGTCTTGAGAGGCAACATGTTCTTCCCAAGCAAATAAAATGTAAGAAATTTATAGTTAGGGAATAGTATTTGCACATTCAGAGATAACAGAATTAAGGACAGTTTTTGGGAAGGAAACCATACATGTTGAGTCTTCAGAGCATCTTGAGATATTGTAACACCGAGGTCATCCAGGATCTGTTGCCCTCTTCAGTTTTGTTCAATGCAGAAACAGCTGTGCTGGTAGAAGAGGATCTAGCCAAAGGAACTGAATGAGTAGCTGAGGAAGTAACTGTTTTGGCTATTTTTTTATTTTTTAGGCCTAATGTGTTTTGACTAGTTTTAAGTGATTATGAAACTTAAGTTGCTGAAGAAAGCCTAGAAGGACTGTCCTACTAGGCTACTACTACTACTACTGTTCTTTCTGATTCCCTTTGGAGTTCTAACATACTGTACAAGCTGCTTATGAAAATACAAATACGTGTTATTTTACTCCCACAGCCACCAACGGCAAAAATGCATGCAATCATTGAGCGAACTGCAAACTTTGTGTGCAAGCAGGGAGCCCAGTTTGAGATCATGCTGAAAGCCAAGCAAGCACGCAACTCCCAGTTTGACTTTCTGCGATTTGATCACTACCTCAATCCCTACTACAAGTTCATCCAGAAGGCCATGAAAGAAGGACGCTATGCAGCTCCTTCAGAAAGTAAAGCTGACGAGAAAAAACGTGAGTTGTTGCTTGGCAAATGGTGGCTTCAGGATGGGAATCAGTGGAACAGATGCTGGTCTTTTTATTAAAATAGCCACATTTTTCTGGGATTCCACTGCAGCTGAGATTGATGTGCTGATTCAAAATTTTGCTTAAATTGAAGATTTTTTTTTAAAAAAATTCTTTGTGGAAACTTACAGCTTCAGGAGCTGCTATGATGTGGAAGTTTTAAAAGCAGTTATATACCTCAAGTCCAACAGAAGGTTGGCCTGTCCATTTAGGGTTTAGTTTTATTGATGTTGGGCGTTACCTTGGATCTGTGCTTTTGTGACCAAGCTGATTTATATGAATGATGCTTTCCTAAGATCCATGCTTGTCCTGTATCACCATTCTTTCCTAAAGCAAATTCATAGCAAACCTAAATGAAATTCAGACATTGCTTTTATTTAGACTCAAGAGTCAAATCTGAGGAAGATGATGATGATGATGATGACGATGACGGAAATTATCTTCATCCGAGTCTTTTTGCATCTAAAAAATGCAGTAGGCTTGAAGAGCTCATGAAGGTACTTGACACTATTAAAATTACGTTTTTATCATGTAAAACATCTGATTCATGGACACAAAAATTGCAGGTGCTCAGGTGTGGGGTTCTTTTCAGACTGTAATTTAAGTCTGTTTTGGTAAATATTTATTTTACCTTTTCTCTAGCACACAAATTGCTATTTTTCCATTTCCAAGGAATTAAATTTCTGTTTGTGATGCCCTCTGGTATTAAGGGCACCACTCAAGAATTTATCCTATGGAACCTGTGTTCAAGCAAAGAGATTAAGGTATTTAATGGAATAACATGGTTATTAAAAATAATATAAATAAGCTGAGAGAGAAATTTTTTTCTTCTTAGATTTTGGTAGATGAAATGTTAACATGAAATAACAGTTCCAGCAAATAATATTTCACCAGAATTTATTACTCATTAAATGTAAATTTTGCTGGATGTGTTAGTTGTTTTTATTTTCTGAGACTGGACAGTGATGGAATAATGGGAGTGACAGACAGTTGTATGTATTTCAGGCTTTTAGAGTGGTGCTGTCTGATATTTAGACAAGTCAGGTTCTGTGCCTTATCCCAGCCATGGCAGTCATTGGCTAACAGTAATAACCACTTTTTTTTTATGTCATTCATTTCTGTTTACATGAAGTGTCTTGTTCTTCACTAATTTTCAAATACATTGATTCTGATGTGAGAGCTACAAAAACAGTAACTGCAGTGTTTGCATAGAATTATTGGTGTCTATCAAGATAGAGAAATTTGCTTTCCCAAATACATTGATGCTACTGTTCTTTAAATATGTACTTCCAAGTTTAATCTTTTTTTCTATTTTCAAAATATTTTCAGCCTTTGAAGGTAGTAGACCCTGATCACCCCCTTGCAGCACTGGTGCGCAAAGCACAATCAGATAATAATTCGTCAACGCCACAGTCAACAGACGGGGCAGCTGTGCAGACATCACAGGCAGAATATTCCTCTGACTGTAAGTGCTTTGTGAGGAGGCAGCTGGTGGTGTGTTTTGATGAATTGTGTGTGGATGCTGGTGGGAAGAGAATATGTTGGCTTCATGCTTCATCCCATGTATTTATTCTTTTGCGATCTCATGAGTCTTTGAAGGTCCTTTCTGAGTATCTGTTGAATTGTTGCTTAAGAAAACCAGGACTGCTGTGGAGGGGGTGGGCAGGCCAGAGGCACAATGCCCTTATTATTATATTTTGTTTTTGCAGGTTTTGTAAATTCTGATACTCAAAAAGTTAAAGTCAAGCTTAAATGAGTTTACGTGCTTCTTAAGTCTTTTCAGCTTTCAGAATTCTGAAAGTCCTTGAATCCTTAAATATAGAAATGCAACCTGCCCTTTCATTTATGGGACTGACCATGTAACACTACTGAGATATAAGAAAATTTGTGCTGAAGCCTTCGCTACCATAGGGTTTCATTTTATTATACATTTGTAGGTAAGGAGTAGTGTTACTTCAAGGTGGTGCTGAGTGAGTTCTTGATTTTTCAGTAATGTTGCTGCAAATCAGTTATAACCGTAATAATCTGAGTTGATTTTTATGCATTATAGGATCAGAACCCCCAAAGGATTACAGGTGTTGTCACTGTAATATGTGGGGAGAAATATGCATGGAAATAATTTGTATTTAAAACTGTACCATAAGGGAATCTTAATAAAATCGAAATAATATTTCTGTGAAGAAATTGAAAATTACTGGTTATTTCATGAAAGACTGAAATCAAAATAAGTATCTCCATTGAATAGATCTAGTCAGTTTTTTGATTACTTTCATGTCAGGCTTGAACCGGAATAGACAGAAACTGGGAGATTATAATTTAGTACCACAACAAGGTCAGTTTGCAACTCATGTCCCCACTTTTAAAACTTAACAGGACTTTATTCTGTTCTCGTTACAGACAGCTTATTCTTTGAAGAAAGTAAACACTGCCACATGGGAATGTTTATGAAACTTTTAAGAGGATAATTCATTGTAATTTAATGTATTGATCAAATCTTGCTTCCAGAAATGGGACTCTTACTGTAATTAATTTGAAATATTTTACATTAATATTTTCTGTTTATATGTAGTCTTTCTGCAGAAAACATATTTATAAGGTGGATTATTCTTGTAAATTTATTAAGCTAATTAGAACATTATAAAATACTGTCCTTAAAGGAAGAGAGAAATACATAAAAAGCCTTTGCACTCTCAAGAAATATTTAGAGTCAGAGAAGCCTCTAGTGTGGAAAACATGTTAAAATGCATGGTTCATTATGTTGCTGTTGATTTGCAAAACCTGTCTACTTTTTGAGGTTTGAGTAAGTAGAAGTGTGTCTATATATAGTAATATAGGGGTTTAATATGTGTATAGTGATTCTAGTGGTTTAATCTCTTAATGCTGATTTTGAATATATGCACATTTCTTTCTTAATGAAAACATAGTTTTAATGGAGTTAAATTGCCAGAGGTGAATTAGATCAGGAAGTGTGATTTCATACTATCTCCTTTTTAAGTATGCCTGCTCTGTTCACTTCTATATTCACATCTATGACCTTCAGTACATTCACATTCTATTCCTTAATCTACATATTTCTTACTCTTTCTAAATCTGTTAATATGAGCCTTTCCTTTTTTTACTTTGGGGTTTTTTTTATTTGTTTTTTTTTTTACACGAGAAATGAGATGCCCTTTCCTGGTGTGTTGTGCGAATCTGGATTCTTGATGTGTTTGTATTGGTATAATAATGTATTTCATTGGGTGGTTTTCTTCTAATTAGATATTTATTTTTAAATGTGTCTTTTTTGTAGCAACTGTGGCAGCCATGTATTACAGCTACTACATGCTCCCTGATGGAACCTATTGCCTGGCTCCTCCACCTCCGGGAATTGATGTTGCTGCCTACTACAACGCCCTGCCCGCAGGGGTGACTGTCTCCAGCACTACAGGTGTAGCAGCAACAGTTCCTCCCCCTCCTGGTACAACACCCCCGCCTCCCCCAGACTCAAATGACAGCACCAGTGGGTTGACTTCTACCACAACATCTACAAGGTACCTCAGACAGCTTTGCTTGTTTTTTGAGGGAGTCTTGTTCCTGCACTTCAATAGCGAGTGTTTAGTAAGGGTTCTGTTATTGAACCAAGCTATTTTAACTGCATGGTGAACACAGAGAACAAACCTCTCTGTATTTGGTTGCTTGGTTTTGGTGGTGGTTTTTGTTTTGTTGGGGTTTTTTTTTGGTTGGTTTTGGTGCTTGTTTTTAGTTGTTGGTTTTTTTTTGTTAAAACAAGAGTCTGAAAGATCTTTATGTTCTGTTTTTAAAAACCATTTACTCTTGATGTTTTCAGCACAATTGCTCCAGTGGTTGCCATTATACCTCCACCTCCAGATATCCAACCTGTCATTGACAAGCTAGCTGAGTATGTTGCTAGGAACGGGGTAAAATTTGAAACTAGTGTTCGTGCCAAGAATGATCTCAGGTAAGAGAAAATGTTATTTAAACTGTTATTTCAAAAGTTAAGGTTCTAATTTTTTAAGATATGAAATTACATGACATGTAGGTTTTGGCAAGAGAAGTACTGTTGTTCTTTTTTTTTAATTGAAATTTAGGGACCTACTTAACAGCAATGTGAAAGCATTATGGCTCTAATTGTCAAAACAACCAATCCGTCAAAACTGTCTCTAGTGACCATGCTCTGAATGTGTATCCTCTTAAGTTTAGGCTTAAGTAAGAGCGCTTCAAAACATCAAATAACATTTCATTTTCTAGAGAAGACTAGATGATAAGGGATTGTTAGTATTAGCTATGTTCATGTGCATCTTCACATATCCTGTTTTCTTTTAACAGGTTTGAATTCCTGCAACCATGGCACCAGTATAATGCTTATTATGAATTTAAAAAACAGTTCTTCCTTCAAAAAGAGAGCGGTGACAACTGCCAGGTACATGTATGTTTTTGTATGCTTCTATTAAAAATGAAGTAAATGTGAGAAAAGGACTTACCAGTTGTGTTACTGTGAGACATTTTAAAAGCGGAACACTGAATTAGGGAGAAATTGATCAGCAAATGATGTGAATGCTTTTTTTGTTGTGTTTTAGTTTTGTACAGCATTAAAGTAAGGATCTGTGAGATGGTGTGGTATTTAATTCTTGCTTTTTACTATAAGCCACTCCACTGTAGCTGTAATGTAAAATGACTGCCTGAAAATCTTCTGACTTTCTATATGAGGGAATATATGCTTTGTGTAGGTTTTGAGCTTTGTAGGACTGTGATTAGTGTTCTGCTGTCAGAAAGGTTAGCCATGGCTTTTAATACCCATACCTTCCCATATGCCTCATCATTCTTCCTACAACAGTAGCACAGAGGCTGGAGGAGCTTTCTGACATTTTTTTTTTCTGAGGGAGGTTTAGAGTCCAGCCGTGACTGCAACAATACTGGAGCTTCAGAATCTCACAGCAGTTTCCTACTTGCTTTGCTTCTCCTAGTCTGTGTTATTAGGTGGTGGTAGCCAGACTTGGCATTCATGTTTTTAACTATTCTCGTGTTAGCTAATTAGATTGTTCTCTTACTGAAAAGAAAATTGCAAATAATATCAGAACTACATTATCTGATGTTAACTTTTCATGGGAAAGAGCTATTTTTTTTTTAGGCCCTATGTCATTTGTCATCTCAAGGCTTAGATTGGGGAGCCTTAAACTGAAGAAGGTAGGCCTGTGGGTAAACTCCTCGGAATTGCTTTGTGGAAAATGAAGAAATTCAATAATGGTTGCTATTTGGAACAGTTGTGTCTGATCTTTTATTTAATAGTGAAAAAATGTTCTGAAGACACTATTTTTAAAGATAAGCTGTGGTAAATATGATCTTACTCAGCTGATAAATTACAACCAAAATTGTCCTTTGCCACAATGCTGACTGTTGTTCTAGAATGTCTCATTTGCAAACCAGTGGATTGAATTCATAATACTTACATAATTAATAAGGACTTGTTAACATGTAGTTGGGGGGAAATTGTACACTAACTGAAGCATAATAATAAAGGATTCATTTTAAGTGTTCAGATGAGTACAGCTAAAAAGGAACCGAAACCGGTTTAAGTCCCTTGAGGTCAAGCATAGCAATGCATATTTTTGTACTGCATGGCTTTGTAGATAGTGCCATTATCTTCATTTTTTTAAAATAATGACTTTGATATTATCTTTATGCTCTAGTAATGTATGTATAGGCAACTAATTCAACTGATGCTTTTCCTCTTGGCCATTAAAATTAATAAGAAACTGTACTACTGACTTCAGTAAATACGGGATGAAGTGCTTTATTTCATTGTGCTTTTCCCCTTGGTGGAGGACTTTCAGAAATCAGTTCTGTTGGTCAGGGAATGGCTGCAGGGAAGATCTGCTCAATGCCTCAATTTCAACGTCACGTATGCTTAACAACTGCCAGCGCAACCAAACTTTTAGTTGACTGTGTTAAATTACTTAATGTTATCACACAACTTAACGTGTAAATACTTTGAATGTTCTGTAATATCCCTCTTGAAATTTTTTTTGTTGCCAGTTCAGAGATCATGCTGAATGATTCAGTCATGTAATGCTACAACCAATAACTCTTTACTTCCTTGAAAATCTCAGCACATCTGTTGTATCAAAAAACATTGCTAGGCCCAGTGTTCTTCAGCAGAATGCTGGAAAAAGTCAAACATTAATATGTGTTGATTCCTGTGAAATCTGATTCTGTGAAGAATTTACATGCAGTTGTACATGAGGAAAAAGTGTCATAAGCTTTCACCCTCTCTCTGGGAATTGACTTTATGGATTTGGTTTGGGACCCTGGAAATCAAGACCTAAACCAATATACAAAAGAATTACATGCTTTTAGGGTCTAATTTTAAAAGTATAATTTTAAAGCAGTCCTTGGCAAAAGTGCATCAGCTGAAGAACATTTTCTTTGCTGTAAAATAACAATATGTTCTTACTGTAGATCTGTAGGTTTTACAGGCTATAGGTTTATAGGAGGTAGAATTATGGTTACGAGTGCTGAGCAATATAAAATTAGCTGTTTTGTGATTAGCTGATAATACAATTTTTCAAATGGCTGACAAAATTGCAGCTCCACAGACATTAATAAGTGTCCTTTTAGTAATTCTGCTAATTTCTTTTGAAAAGGGAGTATCTTCCTCTGAAGATGTTCCAGCAGACACTGCCAGTGATGCACCGAGTGAGACTCAATTTGCAGATGAACATGCACCTGAAGATGCATCTGAGCCGAGCTCTAAGGGAGTTCCAGGGATTAAAAAGGATGTTCCTCCTGCTAAAGCTGTCAGTGATGGTAAACTGGTGAAAGGTATGGTAACATGATTTATTTGGCATAAAAATATTTGATAACATATACATAAAGAAAAAAGAAGGCATGGAAAGTAGGGAGAAGAATTTCATAATGTGAAAAATATATTTTCACTGAAGCCATCAAAAAGCGTCTGTAGTAAGTAATTTGATTGCTCTCTTTCTTGACAGACTATCAGGTATTTATGGTCTGACACAGTAAATTTTTTTCCTTCAGTTTTGTGCAAAGTTGAAGGCTTTCATCAGTGATACCAGTAAAATCTTATTTTTGTCATTTTCAACTTGACAGTTACAGGCTTTGTGCAAGAGAGAAATCATTTGTTTTGAAGAAGAGCAGTGGCCTTATTTGAAAGGATACATGTGGAGGAAACACTCTAGGCTTGTTGCTCATTCTGGCCATATTGGACATTAGTCATGCTGGAAGAAACCCCTCTCATGTCTAAATGAAATGTTTTTACTCTTGCAGTCATAGGAGTAGAGGGACAGAATGGGAAGATATCTCTGGAAGCTACTCAAAACCAGTTAACACAATTAGTGTCCTGAGTTGGAGAAATGATTGTTTGTATTTGGGAGCTGATTTACTGGCCTCCCAGGAAAAGATATTTTAAAAATTGTAAGATATGTTAAAAACTAAAACTGTGCATCTTTTAAGTAGAACTGAAAGCCACTGAAAAAAATAAACAAAACAGAAAAAACACTCTTTAACTGGGATTCCATGGATGGAAACTTCCTTCCTGCCAATTTAGTGGCTTACTTAATTACTGATAAGTTTATCTTCGTCCTGTGGTTCCTTTGAATTCTCTCTTCCTGCTTCCCACTGCGATCCCGTTTCTTCCACAACCAGCAAACACCGGGCTCTTTGCTGTGACTCTCTGTCCAGACTCTGCGGTTTCTTCTCTGTGCAGCCTGAGTAGCTTCCCCGGGGAAGGAAAAATCTTCCTTGCCTTCAAAGATGCCCCATTAAGAGATGCAATATATATTATTATATAATTATAATATGTAAGAAATATACATTGTTTCTGTTGTTTTGCTATTAGTAAGTGGCAGACTGGAGCCTGTACTTTAATAGTAGTAATCTGCTCAAATTTACGTAATGGAATATAACCAATGAGTCACTTCATGGCAATCTGATTCCTATAAACTTATTTTCATTTCCTTTAATAGGATACAAATCCCACTTTATTATAACCTAAATACAGTACTTGCCTCCAAGACAGACATAACATCCATACTAGATTTTTCTTCTGCCTCTGAGGAAATAAAATCCTATTTTAGGATTTGTTCTATCCCATGAAAAAGTGGGAAAATCACTCTTACCTCTTCCCTTGGAATTATGGAGTTCTTAGTTTCTGAGCATATTTCCTTACCCCAGGATTACCAGAATCAAAGCTTATCTTTTATAAACCTGGTATGTAATTTAATTACTGTATTTAAATTTCCCTAATTGGAATCTTGTAGGATATATGAGATTGTGAAAGGCTTCCTGAGGAAGGTAAGTATTGCAGCAGACCATATGGTACTAGGTAGTGGGAAATTCCATTCTTCCATTCTTTTTTCTTAGAAGTATCATTTTGGATAAATGGGTTGGAGGTTAATGCTGTATTTTTTTTGAGATCTTTACACATCAAATGAAGTTTCCAACGTTTGTTTAAAAACACAGAAGGAGAAAAAAAAAGGATTATGTTGTCCTTTTCAGCAAAATAATTAGCGTAATAGGAGGGTGCAAGTTCCTTTTTTTTTTTTGTGGTCTGCAGGAGTAATGGGTAGTCAGGAAATTGAACCTGCCTTCTGCTGTAGTCTAATGATGTGTGAAATCTTACCCATTCATTCACAGCATCCTTTGCTCCAATAAGCTTTGCAATCAAGGCAAAAGAAAATGACCTTCTTCCTTTGGAGAAAAACCGTGTTAAATTAGATGATGACAGTGATGAGGAGGAAGAGGAAGGAAAGGAAGGCCAAGAGAGTGCTAACAGCTCGTCAAACCATACTCCAGCAATTACCACTCCTTGTCCTGCTCCTGAAGAGAAAAAGCCTCAGCTTACACAGGAGGAGTTGGAAGCTAAACAAGGTATTCCATGTGGCACTGAAAACAAAATGAAGGATTGAGTCCTTCATGCAAACCACAGAACTACCACGGGTGACATTTTAGGGGTGCTGAATATTCTGTGTATGTGCTGAAAATTTCTTTGTATTGTTAACAAGAACGAGAATTCTTTTCCCACAGTTTCCTCTTTATTTTTAAGACTGAAATCTTCATTGGTTGCTCAGACAAACTCAAACTTAGTACGAAGTCAGGTAGTTGAGTCCTAATCTATTTGTTCTAATGCCTGATCTTTCAGAATTTTATTTTGGTTTTCCATTGTAACCTTCTAGTAAAACACTGAATTTGTAGTTTCCAGATTGCATTAGCAAAGCCCAGCAAAGACATACCAGTTTGTAATTTTCTTCAGCGAACAGTGAATTGCTTCAAGCTATTTTTCATTATATAGGACTCACATAAAGACTCGTATTGCCTTGTTGATGTTTAGTTGCTCTTAAAATGCAATGCTATTACATCTTTGTATGGGTTTTTCCTGTTCCTGTGTTAATGTGCAGAAGGGCAGAAGGGCATGCTTTGTGAATTTGAAAGAAATGATGTTTTAAAAGAATCCGTTCTCACCCATTCCTCCCCAAGGCTGTTTCACGGCAGTGTGCCTGTTAATGTGGGTGTTCTGTCAGTATTTACCAGCTTAAAAACTCAGTATTTCTCACAGCTATGAGTATGCCACAGGAATTTAGTTTTTCATTTTCAAAATGGTGGTTTTTTGCTTCTAAGTAGCACTTGCTTTGTAAATTGCAGTAGCACAAAGTATGCTATGGTGTTATGTATCTAAAGCAAATATGAAGTCTTTTGTATGATAATAAAAATGAAGTGTAAAAAATACTTAGAAAAAGTTGTGTGTTGAAAAACCTGTGGAATTGAACCAAAAAATCCAGTTGTTTTGTACATATACAGAACGCAAAAATGAAAGTGTGAGATGAAAAACATTACACCAAGTAGCTGTTAGATGCATAGTTAAATCAATTGGCCTATTCTCTTCATGTAATCACATGCATAATCTCACACAGCAAAATTCTGCTGGTTGTGATGACGAAACAGTTTCTGAAAATTGTTGGAGCTGCTCTTTCTATAAACATATATTTAAATAGGGCTGGAAACTGTGAAGATCAGATCAGTGGAAAGAGCAAACTGGAGAGTTTGCATCACTTTAAGACTTAAAAGAAAAAAGCTGTTGAATTTACAGAGCTGCTTTCTTTAGGTAGCTCTTATAAATAGAAAAGGACAAGTATCATGAATAATCAGGATTGGAGTTTCTTATAATTTTAATTTAGAAGTTTTTACTTCACCTGTACTGCTTTACATTTGCTTTACATTAAGCAAATGATGTATCTCTGAATTATGATGCTTGGAATTCCTTAATTTCAAGTTGATGTCCTTACCATTTCATTGAATGGCTATATTGGAAAGGCTTGAGAATGACTGGAGTGGCTGTTTGCTTGATTGTGATGGGGAGGGGTGTTTGTTTTAAGGAAGCCTGAGTTCCCAAGCATGACTCACCCTAAACCTAATGCTTAATTGTCTTTCTTAGCAAAGCAGAAACTAGAGGATAGATTAGCAGCTGCAGCAAGGGAGAAGCTTGCGCAGGCCTCCAAAGAATCAAAGGAGAAGCAGCTACAAGCAGAACGCAAAAGGAAAGCTGCCTTGTTCTTGCAGACCCTGAAAAACCCTCTGGCAGAGGCAGAAACTGAGAAAATTGAAGAGAATTCCTTCAGTAGTGAGGTAAGCAAGAAATAAATTTCTCTTTCCCATAAAGCTGTTAGAAAACTTACCTCTAGAGTGTGAATCTGTCAGTGTGTTATAAACTTGACCGAAGATGTAGAAGCTTCTCTAAACAGGGAGAAAATTGAATTTTAAACACTGTTAATATTTTTCATTATATTACATATGTCTATCATCTGTCATTAAAGAACTGGTAGAGAAGTAGGCTGCACAATTCCTAGGTCAGTTAGACAGGTAGAGAAAGGAAAAGGAGCTTCCGTGTTTTAACTCTGTTCTAGCGATCCAAGTGTTGGAATGCTCACCTTGCATGAATATTGGGATGGCTTACTTAAGTTGTGATACTTTCTTATTTGATGTGTACATTGATGGCTTTGCAGTACATTACAAATATAAATATTGTTGGAATGTAGAATCTTGGTTTCCTGGGTTTGGAATTACATGGCTTTCAGAAAAGCCAGTAAAATCATTTTTGGTTGCACTACTCAAGCAAAGTGTAATCTCTGGATACTGATGGAAAATTTTAAGTTATTGATTGTGACAGACTGGCTGCAAGAAAGAATCACATAGCTTTCAATTGTTTCCTTTCCCTCAGAAAGAATTCCAGTACCTAGCAAGTAGTTCATTGCCCAGCTCTCGTTTTTTCCCAGATCATGGATTACCCCTCAAAACACTTCCAAGAGAACAGTTGAAAGAGACATACCTGCAGTTTAGGTGATCCATATCAGCAGAGAGTAGCAGATACGTGAATTAAGTTTGATTAAATCCCAAAAGAGATCCTGTTTGGGTTTTTTGTTGCTACTGCTAATAAATTTCCCCTGACCCAAATGTTAAGTACTTCTCTTTTCAGCTGTAATTTGAAGAGTGACTGCAAAGAGACAATAACACTGCAAAACTCCCCACATTTGGAGTTCTGCTCTTTTTCTCAAGGGAATTTGTCAAGGACACAGATATTTCTAAGCTAAGGGTCCTTTGATATTTTTCTTTAAGAGAATGCCTGAAATAACCGGTGGCAGCTGACTCTTTTTCAGAAGAGCAGATGAATGTTGTTGCTCGCATATGAATTTACTAAAGTTCTAAGCCAAACTTGGCTAGTGAACTTCTTAACAAAAAAAAACACACCCTATCCCACTTCTCAGTAAACTGATTTTCTAGAAACTTTTTTTTTTCTTCCACAAAAGTACAGTTTCAGAGAAGGCATCTATTTTTTCTTAGGCAAAGAATTCCAGTGTATTTGAGAATTTTAAAGTAACCAGTTTCACTGTTTCTTACCAATAGAAATGGTTTGGAGGTGTTTCATTGTTAAAGGGTTTATTTAGAATTTCAAATATATATTTAAATGTTTTCTGATGTGATCTTGCTTTTTAAAAATAAAATTGGTTATTGCATTGGGAGTGCTTGCACTGTTTTAATGAACAATGAAAAATGCCATAATGTCTTTGGAAGTAATATTTCTGCTAAGGGTGGTTTGCTTAGTGACACACTTATATAGATATGTGCATATAGACTTCTGCTGATAAAAGCTTATTTTGAAACAGGAATGTTTTTCAAGCTATTGCTCCATTTGCCATATTTGAAAAAGCAACCATTTCCATTCATTCCAAATAATCTGCCTTTTACTCTTCTTGCCTACTTTGCCTATTTGTAACAGCCCATTTGAGTCAAGAAATTGTATTGGAGAAAGATGAGTGAAATTATACTGCAGATTTGTTAACCTCTGTTCTGCGTACCCTGAGAACCCAGTATGCTGCATTATGATGTTTAAATCAGCTTGTAAATAAATATGTAGCACTGGTTTGGTTTTTAAAGCTTTTTTAGTCATGTTTCACACTTTCAGTCATATTTCAGACTAAAGATGCATTTAAAGACACTGATTGCAAGCATAACAGGAGATAACTAGAGTGGCTTTAATAAAAAAAGTATGTTAAAAAGTTGAGAGAGAAAGGATATGTAAAATGAGTTTTGTAGTTTGGTCAATGCTACTAATTGGGGTAATGAAATCAGAAAACTAATTAATCAGAGAACAAAGAAAAAAATTAAATTTTTGTGTCCACCAGAAATGTCACTATGTATTTCATGTTTTGGGGGTAGGAGCATCCAATGAGGGGTCCAGGAAACAAAGGCGCGATATACACTGGTCAGAGTTAATGTAGTGGCATGATTTTTGTGGGTTAAAATTTGTCTCAAAAATGGAGTAATGACTGAGTTGTATAATAAAGCATGAAGAGCAGTCGAGAATACCTATGGGAGATGCATAATCTCCATTACATTGCCCCAGCCTAATGAGTGTATAAAAACCAGTAATGCTATTTATGTGCACATACAGCGTACGTTTCTGCTGAAAACCTGTTTATCACAGTGTGCAGAAATACATGAAATGCACAAAGCTTTTGTGACCTCTGTCAGATTTTCCTGATACCTTGTATTTCTTGAAAGGTTCATTGGTACTGAGTGTACATTACCTCTTTGAATGAAATCGATTCTGCTAACTGCAGGTAAAGGACAGTCAATACCACAGAACAGAGCACTTACATGCTTTTTTGGCTCCAGCTGAATCTTAAAAATAGTTGTATCTGTGTTTTCCATAGCTATAATTCCATAGTTGAATTATTTCTTTTATATGGCTTCCTGTTTTTCTTCAAAGTGCAATCAAGCAAGAGAAACAAAAAGCAGAAAAAGCTTGAGCGGTGAAGCAGCACAGTGTTTCACAAATGGCTCCTTGGAATTCTTGCATGCATTATAACAGTACAGTTATGCATAGTATCTCCTCAGCCCAGTACTTTGAAAGCATGGATCTTGTCTCAGTTTCCAAAACTTCCAAAACAATGTGCTTCCAGCGATGCTGTGGCTAGTGAAGTCTGTGCCCTTATTCAGGGCATGGACAAACAGTAACTGATCAGAAACATAATTGGGCTTAGCATTGTGTGGTTCTTTATTCAGGTGGCTGAGAGAATCTCTGCATGTGAGCTAAAAGTAAATGTGTCATTCATTTATGAACTTCCTCCTTGGCAGTGATAGGAGAGCTTGTGTTTTATGTGGCCAAATGAATCTGAGCAGTGAAAACCATTGGGTTTTTCTCCTCTCTCGTTTTCCTCTTAACACTACTTTGCCTACAGCTTTTTTGTTTCAAGCTATTAGAGGTGTTTACTTCAAGGCAGACTGGACTACTCCATATTCAGTAGTGTTCAAAGCAAAAGCTCAGGTAGAAAGAGATGAATAATGTTGTCAAAGGAACTAAAGTCAACTCTGGTGGCCTCTTAGGAAACTGGAGATCAGGTGTCTGTGAGGTGTCTGCAGCTACACATGGAGTTTGTGAAATCATGAATAGGCCCATGGTAAATCAGTCATTCAAATGATCATGCTGTAAAATGTTTATAATCTTTGAAGCAAGGTACTTCAGTACTGCTTTGTTGCTGATATTATAAATATGGTGATAGCAGTTATCAGTTAAAGCATGAAAAGGTGTCATGTCTCTAAATTGAAGCAGAGCTGCCTTTCTGATTATTCAAACATGATGAGTTACTGTCTTTATGTATTCATGGTAGGAGAAGGGTGAAAAAAAAGGAAAATACTACCTGTTCCTAATTTGGTTATTTCAGGTTTTAATGTGTTAATTTTTATTCCAGTCATAGTAAGTATCCTTGTATCGAACAGTGAAAGTGTCAGATGAGGTGGAGCAGAAATTATGACAGGGAAACTGATTTCTCCAGTTGCCTTGAAATGGCAGCTGGGGGAATGACAGGCTTTGAACTGAGGAGCATATCTATAATGCCTGACTTGAATTGTTCTAAACAAGGCATTGAGCAGAATTCTCTGGGGTTCAAGCTGATAATTTGAAAATGTTGTATGATTTTGCTTAATCTTCTTCAGCTGGAATTACTCACTGAACAATAACTGTGCATGGACCTGTTCTGTCTTTGAGATTAATAAATTTTGTAATCATCCCTATCCTTTACATTTAAAACATGTACCTTGCCAAGTTCATAATTTCTATCAGCACTGGTTCATTTTGCTGTTTTTCTTGAATTTGTCATCCAGACAGCAGAGTTCATGGAGGAAAGTGACACCAAAACTTAGTTTGAATGTCAGTAGTTCCTGATTGTATTTCCAGGTTTATCCCATTTTAAGTAAGATGTGTAAATAGACTAAAAGATACCTGATAGTACTCATTCTTTTAGAACACATTTCTTCTGAAAACTAGAGATGGAAACTTCAGAACTATGTCCTGGTTAAGCTGACAGTCTTAGCATGCATATACCAACATTGCATGTGTATCTTTTGGGAACTGCACAGGTCTCCATGAAATTTTGCTGGATGCATGTGTTTGAAAAGGTCAGCCTTACTTCTGCACACTTTACACAATCCCAATGCAGCACTGACTAACTGTGGAAACTGAACACTGTTCTTTGTTTATCTTTGATTTCAGAGTGTCAGTGGTATTCCATGTCCTGTGACTGCAGTCAGAACTTTACCCACCTTAGAAGTTAAACAAGCTGAAAGGCCTTCGAGCAGAAGCAGAGACCCTCCTAGGGATGAAGAAAAGGAAAAGAAAAGGAAAAAACACAAGAAAAGATCTCGGTCAAGATCTCGATCACCATTCAAATATCATTCATCATCTAAGTCTAGGTCTAGGTCACATTCAAAAGCAAAACACTCACTTCCTACTGCCTATAGGACGGTCAGGCATTCAAGGTGGGTTTGGAAACCAAACATATGCTTTATTATTCTGTGTGGATTAACATGTAAAACATCTTCGCACTTCTTCTGTTACATAGGTGTTTTTATTGCAAAGGTTGCAGTCACCTTGAAGGCAGTATGTGGCACATACAGATCAAATGTGGCAGGTCTTTTGAAAATCATTTTAGTGAAATAATGAGTCATTAATTTCTAATTACACAGTGCAAAACTTTTACCAGTAAATGCTTTTTCCTGATGTTCTTTGAAATACCCGGTGATACTATGTAGAAATGTGATGACAGCAGAAGGAGAACTTGCTGATAAATCTGTGGCTGTTACTGAAGCAAATTAAACAATATTCAGATAAGAAATAGAGGACTAGGTGGTTGAGTGGCAAAGCTCAGAAGAAAAAAAGCATTTGAGTGACAAGTGAAAGAATATGATGGATGGATGAATTGCAGGAGAGATGTGACAGGAATCCAAGAAGAGTGAAAACAGAGTTGAAAGAGAGAGAGACCACAGAAGAATGTGGCCTAGTGCTGTTAACTCTGTACTTAATCGTTAATGAGATTAAACACACTATGCTAATTATCCATCTGTAAGATGATGTATATTGTGTTTTACTGATACTGTTAATTCTATCGAAGATATTTGGGTCTAGACGCCTTCAAAGTTTACTGTCTGTAGAATTTGTCATAGCTGAATGCTCTACCCCAGTGGAGTTAATGTGGTCAGTAGGAAGGGCTTTGAGGGTACATTCTATGGATCAGGCTACAGAGCAGTGTAGCTGCTTAAATAGCTTGTAGTTCAAGTAAATTGTGCATATAAATACTGCCACAGCTGTATGTGATGCATGTGAAACCATACACTACTTCCTTTTTGTGTCTGCCTATGGCTCATGCCTGAAAAAAGCTTCTAGCCCCTGATGACAGTGTGCCAAAACTTCTCTTAGTTTTCTTGTGCTTTTTTGTTTAATGAAGTGTCTTAACTACACTAACAGGAGGGTTAACATATTACAACTTACAGGTTTATACTTGATTTTTGAGTTTAAGAACAATACTTGGCTGCAGAAATATCTGATATTCAGAGATGCTAGGAGTTAAATGAGCGCAGCTTGGACTGAAATGATCAGTCTGACATGCTGCTTATTTGATGACCTTTTACAATAAGTTGTTGTGACATGCTGTGTTATGACCAAAAGTCATCAAGAATAGGTAGTCTACAGGAGCTAATCTGTGTTTGCTCTCTTGAGTTTGCCTCCTGGCACAAATCAAGTGACAAACACCTAACAGTATGAAAATCATGAATCACCACAACACTTGATTAAATCTGGTTAGATATTTCCTTGATGAGCTGTTGAATTCTAAAACCTCAGAAGTCCAATAAACTTGATGCTGGCTGGCTGAATTTTAAAATTATGCAGCAAAACAGCACCAGATTTTGCACTGAAAACATTTTGCATGTTTTAACTTCACAGAAGTTAGAGCTGAAGAGGAAAGGCCTTGTACAAGAAATGGTGATGATTGAAGGTGTGCTTTATTGAAGTTGTTTGCTATGCCTTAACATACTGTCTTTGCAAAGTTAGAGCTCTTGCTCCTGGAACACAAAAATTGTAGAATAATCAAGAGCAAGAGGCTGATTGATAATCCTGTCAGATACTGATGTGTTTTGAGTCTCAAATATTTAGGGAGAAATAGTACTTTGTCTTAGTAATTGCCAAAAAAGGTAAATGTTGTTGCCTAGCTAGAAAATATTACTGGGTTTTGTCTTTTTTTTATTATTATTTATTTTTATTTTAGTGTTGTTTCAGATAAAATCATTTCAGTGCATTGTGTTGCTTCATTCAAAGCTTGGCGTGTTTCACATCTCTTTGCTCATCAGTTTTCCCTAGAAAAGTATTCTTCAGCTTCACCTAGAATAGTTTTTTTCCCTAGCTTCCCAAAGCAGTGGATATTACAGCTTCCAGCTGAACGAATAGGTAAAGAGCCATACCCTCCTGGAATAAAGTGTAAACTGTTTCTGGATATTAATGTGTTCATCTTGTATTAAGTGGCTGGCACTTAGAGACAGTCATTATTGGGTGGACAGCGATGCTAAATGACTTTGGAAAAGCCGTGTTTTGAGTATCTGCGCACTGTTTCAATGCCCCAGTGTAATGGTGTATTGTTGCCTTGTTTTAATCCATTCAAAATGTAGATTAAGAATCACTTTACCATATAACTTACTGTGACAAGTTAATGGGGAATAAAATACAGGAAGTGTAGGTAAACATTGAAATTTGCACTGACATTCTTTGCTCTTTATTCAAGGAATGTTCAGGATACTTAACAAACCATAAATGAAGCATTTGCAATCTTACTCTTTTTTTCCCAAAATGCATATTTTTTAAATTTTCTTATGCATTTCCAGCAGTAATAAAGTTGAAAAATTCTGTTCCAATAACATGAAGTTGATTCAGAGCATGTTTTGCATATTCATTTCTCTGGTTAACAAACATACTTATTTTACAAAAACAAGTTGAAAAAATCATAGCTATATGAAGAACCTCTATGAAGATAATATTGGCTTAATTGCAGCATGTAGTGTGCTAACAGCAATTCTCTGTATAAATGCATGTTAGTTTCTGGAACAAAATTAGTCCTATAAAGCTGCTGGTATCATACAGTTTTAATTCTAGACCTACATGGCAGATTAAACAAGCCATGTACACAGTAAACAGTGTCCCAAAGTTCTTTAAGGTACTGCAGAAGAGACTTGTCAGTCCCAGAGGGATGATTAGTTATTACAAGTAAGTACTTGATATCAAAGATGGGGCACATTTATTAAATCCCTCTTGGAAAACAAAGTTTTTGGTATCTTAGTAAATGTGTAAATGCTGAGTCACTGTTTTTGTTTCTCATGGACTTCAAAGCACCGTTAAAGAATTAGGTCTGAGCTGTTTCTGGCAGTGGTGCCAGGTGTCAGAGCTGGGGTGGGCAGTGGGGTCTTCCAGCTCATGTGTATAACTGTAAAGAACAGTGATGTTCACCTCAATCTCTATTTCCTACCCACAGATAAATCTACTGGTTTGTGAATGTGAGAGGAGACAAAGGGAAGTAGAAGCACTTGTTATATCCCAGATGATTTAGTGATTTGATTGGGTGAAATTCGGATGTTCATTTTGAACTAGAGATGGAAAGTCTAAGCTTCTTTTCAGTATTGCTGCTTTACTTTATACTGTTTAGTAATAGAGTAGTACTGAGGGACATAATGTAACCATATTAATGAATTATTAGCAGCAATTAGTAGTATATTTTATTAACAGGTTGCTTTGCAGTAAGTTTGGATAGGGTACACCTGTGTGGGAGTTTGTGTGAGACTTTTTTCCTCAGTATTAGGAATTTAGTAGGCTTGGAAGTAGCTTTTCTTTGTTAAAAAAGATTGTTTGGGGGTGGGGTATTTTCTCCTCCTGAAGTGATTTTCTTACTGCTGAGGCAGTGTCTAGTCACGTAATTTTAATTCAAATTTTGTAATGAGACATGCCGAGCTTCATAACCCTTTGAACTTCTGACCCTTCTAAGCATAAATGATAAAGGAGTAAAGTGCTTTCTGGAATTACAGTCTAATGAAAGTTATAATTTATATATTGCATTAAAACGGATTAGCTGGTTTTTTAATTGTTTGAAGCAAATGGCCAAAGTTCTTAATTTTTGGTGATTGGAAGAATGCTGTAAAACCACAAATGTCAGTTCATAAAAATGAAGCTAATGTCTTTTTCTTTCTGATTGTTTGGACTTTTTTTAGGCTGTTCCATACAGGCGTGTTTCACTAAGGTTCAGCTTTTGGTTAAGGGACTAAGCCTTTTCAGGATTCTAGTTAAATACCAAAACTAGGACATTTTAGTCTGAATGTGAAATGTGTGCCTCCATATCACAGACTCAGAGCATCCACAGCGACACAGAGTATGGAGTCGAGTCTGAGCAGCTCATCAGTGGCAGCAGCAACAGAGTGGAAAAATTATCAGGCAACTTGGGCAATGAAAAGATTTGACTGCTGGAGCTCTTGTGAGGGAAATCCTGGTAAAATGTCAAGGTGTCTGACTGAACCCAAGTTTCATAATCTGTTGTTTTTTTCCTTATTTTAATCCTTCTGAATGGCTTGGTAAAGATCAGATTTTTAAGTGTCAAAGCAGTTAATTTGCAGCAGTTATCTGCCATTGTGGTAATTTATTTTCAGTTGGGCTTTTTTTTTGTAGGTGTAACAGAAATGGCTCAGGACTTTGTAGGTGTGTATATGTTACTTATATTGTGTGAACCTGAAGATCTCTGATCTTAACTGGGCATGCTTTCTATTTTCCCTTCTTGATCTCCTTCTTGCTTTTCTAGGAAAAATGTTACAAGTCGAAGTGCTAATGCCAAAAGACGCTGATAGTGGGTTGTTGGTCACTTACACTGGTGAAAATATTTGCTATGCTAAGATTATTTTGCAGCATCCAGGACATTTCCTGGACTTGTCCATACTAGATAGGTACTGTATCAAGAATCTGTATTAATCTCTGTGAGGCAGCAGTTCTGAAAACACACCACTAATCTGGGGTGACAAGGTCAGGCCTGCCAATCCCAGGCTTTGCGCAAATTGGATTTCTGCTTACCAGTTTTAGTAAAATATGTTGCCACAAAAGGTGGCTGGACTGAAAGAAAATTTTTCCATCAAATAATACAGAAATTGTCATAGCAGACAAGACCAAAAAATTGTTCCATTTTTTTAGCCCCAATTGGGACTGAAAAACAATGAATAACTTAATTTGAAATGTCTTGGATAGGCAAGAAATTTTTACATACTTGACAAGTCTTGGAGCCTAAATGCACCATGCTGGTATAAAATATGTGTTTGAGAGATGGTGTATTTGTATTTGGTGTGAAGCACAATTTCACTGAAGTAGAAGTTTTGAAGTAAGTAACACAAAGCAAACTTGAATGTTTTTTCTGTGCTCAGGTCACGATCAAGGTCACCCCGGAGAAGGGCTCACACACCAGAACGGCGGAGAGATGAGAGAAGCGTTCCCACAGCATATCGCATCAGCAATAGTCCTGGGAACAGCAGGAAACGGCCTCACTCCAAGTAAGGGCTCCTGGTCCTGGACAACGGGGTCCTGGCATCCTAACAGGCTTAATGCCTGATGTAGTAGGATTCTTAGCTAGAACTACTTAACTTTTGTGTGTTCTGGAGATTTATTCTGATAGAAAAATACTTTTTCGGAAAAATAAAAATAGTAATGGGCACACCTGTTGTTCTTCCCTGGTCTTCCATAAGTTTGAACAGCAGTCCGGTCAAATTGGTGGATGTTAGTACACTGCTGTCTTGCTGGCCATGAGAGTTCAGATTTCACTGGGAGTTTCATGTTTCCCTCTTGTTGGGTCATTTTCTCATGCTGTGCTTGTGCGATCTGTATGAGCTCTGCACTGGTCGTAGCACAACTGTGATGTCAACTTTCTTGGCATCACGTCATATCTGCTTAAATAAGGGCAACTCTGATTTAGCAAGCACTTATTTTGCAGTTATTTTACTGGCAGACTGGTATGAATCGAGGTGTCGTTTTGAGAGCACCCTGCATATAGTCTCTCTTAAACTATTAGAATCAAAATGGCATTTAGTCTTCAACTTTTCTCTGTATTTCTTGTAGAATAAGAAAGAAAGAGATCACTTTCAGCCTCATTAAAAAAATCTATTGTTTCTTATGACAACTTCTCTTGATAACCTGTAATTAATAGATATGTGGTAGATGTAACTGAGAACTTCTTCAGTATACTTCAACTGATTCAGTTTTGAACATTCATCAGATAAAGGTAATAGAGATTCCTGTGGAATTCTTGCAAATTTGGTTAAGCAGAAAAGATATGGAGGCTTAGTGTGTTTGTTTTCCTATAAACGCACAAAAGAAGTTTTTCACATGCCTGTGCTGTTTCTAATGCTGTGCTGATGTGTCTGCTGCTAGACCATTCAGCATTTTAAAGTACTTTTAGAATTGTACCACTCACAGTTGTAAATTATAGTGGCAATTGTGAAACAAACTACAATCCTCTGTGAATAATATTGCTTATATAGGTCAAAATTTTAAACTTCTGGTAGGCCTTAAACAGGAAACCAGAAAGTGGTACAATAAAATATAGCAGTGAGTACAGGAGATGTAGACTGAAGGAGTATTGTAGTTAAACATAGATAAGGATATTTTGCAGCTCTGATTGCAGAAATTAAATCAAAAACTGTTTCAGCCCTGACATGTTAAATTTTCAAGTAAAAATGTGATGGACAAGTTTCCATGTTCAGTTATGGAACAGTTTCTGCATCATTCAGCTGTTTTGTTTGTTCATCATAATGTGAGATGAAAAGCGCTGAAAAAGCTTACAGTAAAATACTTCACGTGCATGACAAACTTTTGCCAAGATTTTCAAGATTTAAATATGAAATCTGTTCACAGCTTGGTTACATGATGACGTTCTAAGAAACTAAGCAATTAAAGTACATAGCTAGTCAAGGAATAACTGACTTTGTAGCTGATGGTTTCATGAAGTCATGAAAATGTTAGAGGCTGTGGGGTTTTTTGTCTGCCACTTAATCATCATTTATACAAGAAAAGTGTAAGGAGGTTTTGCAATTTTAAGTCTTGAATGTTATATTCTGTATAAAAAAATGTGGGGTAAATTCTAAGCATCAGAGTTGTACTCTATTTATATGGAAATTCAATGTGCTACAGCATAGCACCTTTTAAAGTAGAAAATTCCCACCAAAAATCGAAGTAAAGGAATGAATAATGTGATATTTAAAAGGTGGCTATAAGTTTTAGATGCATCAACAACAATCTTCTGAAGAGATTTCTAGGAGTGCATACTAGAGAGAGATGCCTACAGTGAGGTATTGCCTACCTCTAATTAAGACATCACTCTAGTTATTCTAATTATAGTAAAATCAATACTAGTATGTAAATCATGCAGACATAAATTTATAACTGGGTAAAAAAATTTGATAGTTTCATCTTTAATATATTAGTAATTGAATTCTCTTTGAGCTTAATATTGCCTATGAAGTGACCATCTCTGTTCCCTTCTGTCAGTAATGAGCACATCAGGTACCCATAAGTCCTTTGTTTCAGCTTTCATACTGACAAACATTTGTGGATCTAATTTCCAGGTCGCAAACAGTTTGCACTTAGGCACACTGCTATGTCCAGATTAGTATGAGTGAAATACAACAGCTCATTTAAAATTTTGATCCTGTGGCTTGTTGCACTGCAGGTTGGATCACAAGGAAAGGGGTTTTGTCTTTTAAAAATGAAACAAACTGGGGATTTGCCTTGTAGATACTTTACATAGCCACAATTCCATGTTTCATTTATTTTATGAGCTGGGAAAATTGTAAGGGATATATAGTCTTACATTTCGTATTGCATTCTAAGCGTCTGATGTTGTTTGGGAAGGAACTTCCCTTTAGCAAAGTTACTCTGCAAATCTCCAATGAAAGGCTTTTTGTTGTCGTCCTGCAAACAGTCACACAGTGGCCAGTAATTGCTGTGCATGCATGAAGCAGCATTGCAAGTGAGAACCTCAGGAGCCAGTAGTTACCTAATGCAATATATTAAAAAGAACTTCTGAGAAAGTATTTTGTACAACCATGAACGTGCTGTATTGGGTAAGACTAATGCTTGCTGAATGCAAGAGGAACATCCTATGGGAGAGGGTACATAAACTTTCAGAAGTGTGAAAAGTAGCTTCACTATTAGCTAGTGTAATATTGCTTTAAATATTCTTCAATAAAATATTTTCTTCTTACAGAAGTCCCCATGAAAAGAAGAAGAAGAGGCGGTCTAGATCACGTACTAAATCCAGAGCTAGGTCTCCCTCACCATCCATGTCACCAGGCAAACCATCCACACACAAAAATTCTGTACATTCAACTAGTGTCTCTCCTGTGGAGAGCAGGGAATCCAGCCAGGAACGCTCCAGGTACTGTGCTCTGTCACTGTCATACTGCAGTGCTGCTGTCTCTTGACTGTCAGGGTGTCTGTGACCAGAGTCATGGGGTGAGGAGCTCTGTGTGTGTGCAGTGTGTACTTATCTAAAGTAAAAGTCACTGGGTGCACAGCACTATCTGCATCAGTCTGATGAAGGTGTTGGATCTCTGTTGCCTTCTGGAGTAAACATCTCGACCTACTCCTACAGGAAAACTGGTGCAGAAAATTCTGCAACCTATTTCTAAGTTGGAAATTGGAAGCTTTCATGAAATGGGATAACTCTTTGAGGCAGAATTTTATTAGAGTAGTTTGAATTGTGACGTGTGTCAAGATTCATGATTAAATTATTTCTATAATATAGAACAGTCCTGTTAAAAATTTTCAAGCTGCTGTTCAGATTTGTCTGAGCAGTTGTACAGGTGATTTTTCTGACCCTGACTTACATCCTCTAGTTGATTGAGAGAACTGTTCACTAACATGTGAGAGACATGTACAATGAAACCCAAACCAAGACGGTGAGTGAAATGCATTTCAAAACTTTTACTATAAATTTCTAATTTTATTTTTTAGGGGAGTTTCTCAGGAAAAAGATGGCCAAATCTCTTCAGCAATTGTGTCGTCAGTGCAAAGTAAAATCACTCAGGTACAAATAGGCAAATTCAGAGTATGTTGCCTAATTAAGTGATGTCCAGCATACATTTTTCTTCTCTTACCACCTTGAGCAATTTTGAACTTCGCATATGATGTAGAGACATGTTTACTGACTTTCTTAATCTGTTTGCTGATGGGAACAACAGTTTTGTTGCTTCTCTAGGTGCTGTCCTTTCAAATTTAATCAAGCCTCTGAAGACCAAGCTAAATTCATTAGGCTGCAGTTGTATCCACTGTAAAGATGTTAAAATCTGCATTATGCTGCAGTACTCCCTTTATCAACAGCCCATCTTACCATGCAGAGCTCTTAACAAGTTTCGTGGAAGGAAGAAATATTTAACTTTTTTCAATTGGATATGCCAACTTTAAAGGAAAAATTGTCTTAATTATGCTTTGAAAAATTTACAGTAGAAAATCAGAGCTGCTTTTTATATGCTGATGTTTTTCAGTGGATAAGATATTCTTTCAAGAAATAAATATTGTTAAACAATTTAGTTCTCCCTTTTCTCCCTTTTCTCCCTTTGCTCCCTTTTCTCCCTTTTCTACCCTTTCTCCCTTTTCTCCCTTTGCTCCCTTTTCTCCCTTTTCTACCCTTTCTCCCTTTTCTCCCTTTGCTCCCTTTTCTCCCTTTTCTACCCTTTCTCCCTTTTCTCCCTTTGCTCCCTTTTCTCCCTTTTCTACCCTTTCTCCCTTTTCTCCCTTTGCTCCCTTTTCTCCCTTTTCTACCCTTTCTCCCTTTTCTCCCTTTGCTCCCTTTTCTCCCTTTTCTACCCTTTCTCCCTTTTCTCCCTTTGCTCCCTTTTCTCCCTTTTCTACCCTTTCTCCCTTTTCTCCCTTTGCTCCCTTTTCTCCCTTTTCTACCCTTTCTCCCTTTTCTCCCTTTGCTCCCTTTTCTCCCTTTTCTACCCTTTCTCCCTTTTCTCCCTTTGCTCCCTTTTCTCCCTTTTCTACCCTTTCTCCCTTTTCTCCCTTTGCTCCCTTTTCTCCCTTTTCTACCCTTTCTCCCTTTTCTCCCTTTGCTCCCTTTTCTCCCTTTTCTACCCTTTCTCCCTTTTCTCCCTTTGCTCCCTTTTCTCCCTTTTCTACCCTTTCTCCCTTTTCTCCCTTTGCTCCCTTTTCTCCCTTTTCTACCCTTTCTCCCTTTTCTCCCTTTGCTCCCTTTTCTCCCTTTTCTACCCTTTCTCCCTTTTCTCCCTTTGCTCCCTTTTCTCCCTTTTCTACCCTTTCTCCCTTTTCTCCCTTTGCTCCCTTTTCTCCCTTTTCTCCCTTTTCTCCCTTCTTTTTCCTATTTTAAACCTCTAGCAGTTAGTAACTCCATGTTCATTACAAGGTTTCTTTGAAGATATAGTCATAGTTTTTCCATTTCAATTGGTGTGATTTCTGTGCTTTGTTGTATAGAAACTGCTTGAAATATTTATGCAGAGTACTTTGTTGCATTTTGGTAAAACCAGACTTCAGTTGCTGTCATAGGAACTTTCTCCAAATTATTTGATTTATTTAGCCTAAGAACTAAACATTTGATGGTCGTGACTCCAAGTATCCCATGTGACTGGTGTATACACAAATCCTTTCATGTGGGTTTTTGCAGTCACGTGTTTTAGCTCTATTCAAAGCTCAGACATGTCTGATCATTTTCCTTTTATTTTCTACAGGATCTTATGGCCAAAGTGAGAGCAATGCTTGCAGCTTCCAAAAACATCCAAACCAGTGCCTCCTGAGACCTGTTGGAACTGACCATTAAGAAATTGTGTGAAAAGAACAATTGGAAAAGAACTGCCTCATCTCAAATGTACAGCTGAGCCTGGCTCACAACTCGCCTAATTTACCAGAACTCAAGAAGCTAAAACCTATCTTTCTGTACAGAAGCATCTCCTTGAAATTTCATTCAATTTTTTCAGCCAGAATATCTTTGAAAAGTTTTTGAGTTTTGTAAATTGATTTTTTGACTAATTCTTCAATAACATTTTATGATCAGCAGTCTATATGTGTATATTTGTAAATATTATGTTTCTGTGAAAAGTATTACACAATAATAAAGAAGGAAACATCTTTCATTAGCTAGAGTTTTTGTGGAGTCCTTAATTGTTTGCAGTTGGGTTTTGTTACAAATTAATATTTTTTTGGTTTATCATTTTCTGCTTTTTAATTTGACAACTGTCTTGCCTGCTGACCACCTTAGGCTGAGGAATTCTGTTTATCTTCCTTCATGCACAGGATGATCTCAGAAGAATGCTTGTTTACTTAAATGTCAGCAGTAGACGGGTTTTGAACAAGGGATGTGATTTTCTCTCCATGAGTTAGAAAGATCCCGGAGCCTCCATGTGAGGAGTTGACCCTTTGAAGTCAATAACTAATGGTCAGTAGCCTTACACTCTTACTGTACCTTGTTCTCTCAACTTAGGTACAGAAAAGAGGATATTTTTGGACTTTTTTTCAGGCATCCTGTATAGAAATCCAGCCTCTTTCTGACTTAACATCTTTTACACAGTTGAAAAAAGCCTTTACGAACTTGTATTTTACTGACATAGTCCTATTGACTTTTTTTCCAGAAAGTTTGTGGCCTCAGTAATACTGCACATTTGTTTGTTATGCATTCTTTGTTCCACAAACTCAAAATAGTCTCCTTGAGACTATTGTAATGTTTTAATTTAAATGCTTTCAAAATTAGTACAAAAAATGTGTGGATTTTTACCAAAGCCTGCTTTAACAATAAGAGCATTTTGTAATGGTTGGTTATATTCAAAAGTGCTCCTATTGGCAGTCATCTGATTCCATAAAAAATGGAATTGTGGCCTTTACTGATCCCTGAAAAAGTCTGAGGTTGTGGGTTTAGTGACTCAAGGTCCTGATCTTCTTGTTCAAAGTAAGGGGAGGAGAAACAGTATTGATACAATTTAAACTTTAAGTAACATGATGGTCAAAATAGTCCCTGTCATGCTGCTTGCTCCCTTGGAATGCAAGCACGATATTTAAGCCATTGGAAATGGTCATTGATCAGATTTCTTTTCAATTTTTGGTTAATAATTAGCAGAATTAACATTCATACAAATGGTATAAAATGCTGGGTCTGATGCAAAGAAATTGCATTGTGCACATAACCTGTGGTGAAACAGAACCATCTAAATGGTCATGTAGAATGATGTTATCCACTGCCACTTTGAAAGTTATTTACAGTGTTTTGACTAGGACAAAAATACTTTCAATCAGTACCAGAGAGGCACCATTTCCCCTGCACCAGTTGATGAAATAGTACTAGTAGAGACAGATAAAAAAGCACATAAAATAGATTTCAAAACAGCTGTTGTAGATTGTTGTGCAGCGTTAGAGTTTACAGGAGCTAGATTTTTCTCCCCTAAATGGAGTTAAAAGTCCCACCATGGTTAAATAATTGGCAGCTTGGATGCCAGTTGTTTGTCAAGTAATAGGAAAAAAACCCAGCTGATAAAATAGACTGGGCAGCTTGTTTGTCTGGTGCTTTGCAGATTTATTTTCTTTGGGAAGGTTGTTGTTTAATGACTTAAAATATTTTCTCTTCCTATGAGCAAGTCTTGCAGTCTTCTCTTTTTTCTTTTCCTTACTCCCTTTTGTGGTATGTAGGGAGATGAAGTTTTTTAGCTCCAGAAAAATTTAGATTAAACTGCATTTTTATACAGTCTTTATTTTTTATGAAGGTTTGTTTGCATTTAGCACTCTCTCATTGGGAGTTGTATTCTCTAAAAAGTTGTAGTATTTTCATTCTGGTTTTTTTTTCTCTTTCCAGCCAGAATGGGCATTTTTGCATATTAAAAGGGCTTGAACTGCTTTACCAGAATAATTTCACATTTGGAAATCAATGCTTCTTTTTTTGGTCTCTTCCCAGGCACCGGCAGTGTTGTAACTACTTGTAAATACAGCACGGAGCTTGTGATACAGTCAAGGCAATTTCAGGTGTCTGGTGTATCAGGAGAAGGTGTAACCGGTATCAGGAAAGTGTCTTAAAAACTTCTAATGGGGAAAATTCCATATATCTGTTTTCCAGGTATGAATTTGCAGCACAATCCCTGAGCATCTGGGGCCATGGGTCTGGTTCTGGATCAGATGACACCTCACAGCCCACCTCCCATCCACAAAACCGTATGTACTCAATTGCTTGCCATGTTTCCATGCACCAATGGGCCTAAAAATCACCTGTCTGTATGGCCAGAATCTTTTTTCTGGTGAGAAATACACATGATTGCTGCAATTGAGAGTTAAAAAATCAGGAGCACTTTGCTTAGAGGAAAGCAGGCTCTGAGTAGCCATGAGGAAAGCACTGTGGCAGCTCTTGAGCTGTCAGCATTTAGTTTTGATTTTCCAAATTTCTCAGTTGTGTGAAAATGACGTATTGTGAGATTGCTTCGCTTTAAATAGAGTGAAATACAGTAATTGAGGCAACTCTTGAGCTGTAGGTACTTTGAGTTATTTCCTCTGCATGAGTGTAACAAACTAGGACTTGGAATATTAATACTGGATTTCCAAAGAACTTTGGAAGGGCTTTTTTGACTGTAATGTGCTAACCTGTCTTTTCTCTTTCTCTTAGAAAGTTCTTAGTTTTGAAGATTAAAAAAAAAATTAAAAAGAAATAAAAATTGTCAGGTTATGTAATAGAGCTTTATTCTCTGTATTGATGCAGAGTAGCCTCTTAAAACAAAGAAATGGCACTGACAGACAGTAGGAGCTGCCCAAGAGATATCAGGTTTTTTTTTCTCCTGAGATTCACATTCAACTAAGATATCAAAAAGTACTTCAAATTTATTTGAATCACTACAGTTATTTGCAGATGTATTTGTAGATGTTACAGACAGATTCTCAGGGATGGATTATAGTACAAAGGCTTTGCTGCAGCAAAAGTTGTGCGTTGCCTTAGGTTCTTCACCTTTCTTTGTAAAATGGCAGTGAAATAGGTGAGGGTTAGGTGCTTGTGTGCATCTGTCCACCAATCCCTGTTACCAGTTTCCTTCAGAACAGATTTCTCAGTACAGGCTTCCACTTCCACAGCTTTGCTTAATCTGCCCACCCAGGTCCAATCTTGATAGCTCAAGAGCTGAATTCAGAATGATTTTTATTAAAGTTGCTCTAATTTGAATTAATCAGATGTGTTCAGCAGCCTCCTACCTGGCTCTGCAGTCTGGTGGGTAACCTGTTAGTAGTAAAAGAGTTAACATCATTTGGCCATCTCAGGATTTTCATCTCCTCACCTATGGAAAAACAAAACTTTGTTTTTCCATAGGTGAGGAGACCTGGCTTCTACTTGTTAAGGATTTGGCTTTCAACAGTTTGGCTCTGTCAAGCAGCTGACAGCCATTGAGATGTATCTATGGTCTCTTGGTACTATTCATGATTTCATATCTATTGTCACTTTTCATTCTTTGTATCACAACATTTTGTTTGACACCAATTATTTCGGAACATACACATTCTCACTTGTAAACTTCATGCATTAGAAACATCAAAATTATATTCTTCTTTTTTCAGTGGGGCAACAATTGATGACATTTAGAATTAATGTTTTCTTGGATTTAAGGCAATGACTATTATCTTTTGTGAAGACATTTTATTAGGAAATCCTGTCTAATTAAATTTCTACTCAATTAAATTGCATTTATTATCTATTTTTCTTCTCCCACCCCTAGCCAGCAACTAATTATATTAAGCAAAGAAATAAAAGACCTGTGGATTGAGGTTAGTAAACTGCTAAGGCATTTTCTTTGCTCATTTTCCTTTTGCCATGACGATCTAAAAGTATGAAATACAGTGTTGGACTAATTTAATATTGTTAATTTACAAGGTGAAAATAACTTGGCTATAACATGAAAATTTGTTTGAAATTCTGATAAATGCGGATCTTAAAAGTTCAGCATTTTTTTATTCTTCCATTTGTGATTTAAATACAAATATGTTCTGAATATCTTGTTTTGCTTTTAGACAGATCCTTTCAGCACGGAAGTGTAGTTCAGTGAAGTATTACATGTAAAAGGAAAGGCTTTATTGAAAACTAAAATCTGACTGCACACTGATGAGCTTTGGTCTTTTTGGTAGCAGCTGGAGTGTTATTGCTGTTCTTACTCTATTAGAGCCATCGAAGGATTCCTGATAAATCGTGATGCAAAGCATGTATTTGCTTTTTGCCTTAATTTTCCCTGCTTTGGATTACACAGGAGGTATAGTCACCCTACTTCATTTTGTGAAATCTTAAAGCAAGTTGTGAGCATTTATAACAAATCACCCTTTTACCTTTCAGGATACTTGAAACTTCGCTGGTATTAATTTAATATCTTTAATTTGGATGAAGATTATAATCTCTTGGCAGCAATTAACCTGAACATGCAGCATGACAAACATAAAAAGCTCTGCCAGACCATTTTAAAAGTGATGGTGATAATCTGCTGTCTCTGGCTCGCTGCCACGCTTTCCTTGGGAGACGTGCTAGGACTTTTCTCTGATAAGGACAAAATGGCTCTGCATGCAATGGTTGCCTGCTGACAAACTCATTTTTCTCTTTACGCTGACTGTTAAACTGATGATCTCTGCATAGGAAGTAAGATGAGTTCTTGCTGATACTTGACAGTGTTACAGATACAGCTGCCTGCTTGGGTAGAAGCAATCCTGGTATGCAAGGCTGGAGGAGGGCAAGTGCTGATCTTCCCAGACAGCACAGAGTGGTAGATATGATGCCTCACTGCAGGGAAACTGCTGTTATCTGGGAATCTCAAGGTTTTTCTTTTCCTGTTTCCTGTAAAATAAATTCTAAGGATGGATTTTTCCAGGGAGAAGTTCCATATATGCTTATATTTCCTCTATTAAAATGTAAGAGGATTTGGGGTTTCTCTTTAAAATGCAATCCAAAGATGTGTATCTGCAACATTATTTATTAGGATATGTCAACTGGGGTGATTGTGGCACTCTAAGTTAAATTACTGCTTTGGCTTGTTATAACAGCTTTACTCCTCCAAAAAGGCTAAAGCTTGAAAAAAACCTACCCATAACTGATCAAGAAATAGAGGGTTTGCTATAACAAGAAAGGGAGCAAAATCTGTAACATT